GTCTAGTCTGAACGACCGCTCTGTGGCACTCACCCCTATTCTAATGAAGTGCTTTGAGAAACTGGTTATTCAGCACATAAAAAACAACATCCCACCCAGCCTGGACCCTCACCAGTTAGCTTTCAGAACCAACAGATCCACAGAGGATGCCATCTCCACTGCCCTCACACACCTTGAGAAAAACAACCCATACATCAGAATGCTGTTTGTGGATTTCAGCTCAGCATTCAACACAATCTCCCCTATGAAACAGATCAGCAAAACCAGCACTCTGGGTTTAAACACAACACTCTGCAACTTGATATTGGACTTCCTCACAAACAGACCCCAGTCAGTTCGGATTGGCGGACTCACCTCCTCCACTCTAGTCAACACCGGAGCCCCCCAGGGCTGTGTGCTCAGCCCCCTCCTGTTCATGCTGTACACCCTCGCCTGCATCCCCCAACATGAAGAGAACTCTGTTGTGAGGTTTGCGGATGACACCACCATCATCGGCCGGATTTCAAACAATGATAAGATTTCATATCGGGAGGAAATTCATAATCTTGTAGTGGTGCTCAGAGAACAACCTACTGCTCAACCTCAGCAAAACCAATGAGCTAATCATTGATTTTAGGAAGAAGGAGATAAAGACACACTCCTGTCTACATCAGTGGTGCTGAGGTGGGGCAGGTGAATAGTTTCAAGTTTTGGGAATCTGCATCACAGAGAACCTGACATGGTCATCACACATCTCGACGCTGGTGAAGAAAGCTCAGAAACTACTGTATTTCTTGAGGAAGCTTAAGAAGGCCAAATTCCCACGCCAAGTTCTTGTCAGCTTTTACAGAGGAGCAATAGAAAGCATCCTGACTGGAAACATCACAAACTGGTATGGGATGTGCACGGCCCAGGACCAGAGGGCTCTGCCTCGGGTGATTAAAACTGCTCAGAAGATCATTGGTTCTCTGAGATAACTGTTGTTGTGATTTGGCGCTATATAAACAAAAATTTAATTGGTACCCATCTCACAAGCATCAGTGATATCGGTTTGGTGAGGGGCCTTCGCAGTGCCCAGAGTATACTAAAGGACAGTACCCACCCAGCCACAGCCTGTTCACCCTGCTGCCTTCTGGGGAAGAGATATAGAAGAGCAGCTTTTTTCCCCCAAGCTACCAGAATTTTAAATTCAAATTCATCCTCAGCACTGCTCCAGTGATGATAGTTTATTTCTGTTACCATTTTTCATAATTGATTCTGTATTAATGTATGTTGTGTGCTATGTAGGAGAAGGGGGTAAAAAAAAAAAAAACTATATTTCACTCTACAACTTGTTTTGTGACAAACCTACTTACCTACATAGTCCCTGTCTCGTGGGAAACAGCAACGGCTGGACAGTCAGTCAGTCATGTGTGGCTTACACACAAGTTCTCAAAGCATGGGTCTGACAGGACATCTTAGACTTAGGGTCATTTTGAGGGTGAAATTAAACTATAAGGAGGAAGGAAACAGATGAGGACCAATTTATAATTCAAACTGCAAGCAGCGTTGGGCGGGCCCTCGCACGTGCAGTGCGTCAGGGCGTGAGGTGGCCGCGTTGCATATTCTGGAGCTATGCCGGTGTGGCTGTGAATTTGCCGCGTGCTTCGGACGCTGCACAAAAGGTGTTAATCATCACTTCCTGTGTCCCCTTTGTGACACTACATAGGACTTGACGCTACGACTATAACTGAATATTGGCATGTAGATGTGTTCGGGGCGTGACTGTATTCAAGCATGTAAAGTTTGGTGTAGATGTGAGCATGTAGACTTAAGTTACAACAACTTCCTCTTTCATGGCGAATTTGGATGCCACACCACGGGCACGCCGTTTCACAAAAACTCACCATTTGTACAACTTTTAATCGTCAATGGGTTTAGAGTAGACAGTGAAAATCTGAAATCAGCGGACTAATTCTCCAGGAGGAGTTTGTTAAAGTACAGAGTGTGTAAATCATTCAAAAATGACCATAAAATTCAAAATGGCCGACTTCCTGGGTGTCAGGCATCGCTCCAAGAGGCTTTTTTGTACGTCTGGACATGATACACTTACTACAGAAATTTCCTTCACGTACGTCAAACTCTGCTCTATAGGGGATGCTAGCGAACCATTTTACCACACCCATGCGCAAAAATCCATAAAAGACAAAAAATTTTGATGTGCCTGAATTATGTGCAGTTTGGTGAGTTTACGAGCATGTTTAAGCCCCCAAAATTGAGGTTACTTTGCAGGACTAAAAAGGAAGAAAGAAAGAAAATAAAAATTAAAGCCGCAAACAGCGTTGGGCGGGCCCTCGCACATGTAGCACGTCAAGGTGTGAGGCGGCCGCGTTGCATATTCTGGAGCTCTGCCGGTGTGGCTGTGAATTTCAAACGCGCTTCGGACACTGAACAAATGTGTTAGTCATCACTTCCTGTGTCCGCTTTATGGCGCTACATAGCACTTCACACTACGACTATAAATGAACATGTAGATGTGTTTGGGGCGGGACTGTTATCAAGCACGTAAAGTTTGGTGCAGATGTCAGCACGTACACTGAAGCTGAAACAAATTCCTCTTTCATGGCGAATCATTGATTTTGGAAAACTCACAGTTTGTACAACTTTTAATCGTTGAAGGCTTTAGAGTAGACAGGGAAAATTTGACGTCAGTCGGACTAATTCTCTAGGATAGTGGTCCCTAATAGGCGGACCGTGGTCCGGATCCAGACCCAGCCGCTGTCCTCTCCGGACCGCCGACTTACAGTGGATTTATTATTGAGACTACGTCGTGACGGAGCGTTTCTATTTTAACCCGCGCAGCTTCTCTAGCATTTACTGTACTGGTTTAGCGGCCCAGGAAACTCAGACCAATCGCATGTGCTTCAATCGTCTCGTGTCGCCGCTCTGCCAATCAAATCTGTGCATTCCGATGCTTGCGAGTCAAGTCCATGAGATTCACCAGAGAGGTTTAGGAAACACACACGAATTGAGGAGACGAAAGGGAAAAGAGATTTCACATGGCTTTTCAAGAATGTACAGATTCTTATATGTACATTCCTCCCACAGGCAGTTCAGAACCAGAATATCTCAGATCTCCAATGCTAGCTGGCAGGACAAAAGAGAGCTCACGTTTCTCACTGACCAAGAGAAAGTAGGGAGATGGTAGCTCTATAAGAGGGATTGAAAGAGAAGAGGAGGCATTACAGCTGTTCATTTGTTACGATGTGTTGAGTGTTTATTGTAAAATTGGTTAAGACTCCACTTCATCACTTCAAGCTACACTTTTTATGTAATTTTTCCTAAAAATTAGGCACTTTATTTTAGTTTACTTAAATTTAGAATTTATTATTAGATTAGTTATTTATTATCCCTCCAGTTTGATGTAAAAACTGACTGAAATATTATTTGATTTGACAGTCCGTTGTTGACTAAAAACATATGTTGATACAACTATACGTTATGGTACTGAATGATAACGCAAGTTAGTCGTTTTGATGTTCCGGACCTTTGCTTCGGGAAATTTTCTCTAACGGGACCTCTTTGAATTATAATTGAATACCCCTGCTCTAGGAGGAGTGTGTAAAAAATCCAAAAATAACCATAAAATTCAAAATGGCCGACTTCCTGTTGTGTTTACGACATCGCTCTAAGAGGCTTTTTTGTACATCTGGACATGATACATGTGCCACAAAAATTTCATACATGTAGGTAAAACGTGCCGCAGGGGCTGCTTCGTTGAAGATCACTTCCTGTTGCCAGTAGATGGCGCTATGACTATGGGTGAATGTTGTCTTGTACAAGTGTTTAGGGCAGGACTCCTTTCAAATGTGTAAAATCTGGTACAGATTTGAGCATGTACAGTCAAGTTACAACAACTTCCTGTGTCATGGCGAAGAGTTCAACTTTGCCACCACGCCACCGCCACACTGTTAACTGCAAAGTCACGAGTTTTACAACATGGCTTCAACAATGCATTATGGGTTTTCTGGGAAAGTTTTGAAGTTGATATGTCCAGCCTGCTAGGAGTAGTACATTACAGCGTAAAATGTGTTATTTCCTGTTGCCAGCAGGTGGCGCTATGACTTTGAGTGAATATTGGCATATGAATGTATTCAGAGCAGTACTTTTGTTATACTTGGAGGAGATGTGAGCATGTGTACTGAAGTTATAACATCTTCCTGTTTCATGGCGAATCACCAATTTTTGATGATACGCCATGGGCAAACTGGTCGACTTCTAATAACCGTTTGAATGAGTGCACAGCGAAAATTTCAGGTTGATCGGACTAAATCCCTAGGACGAGTTCGTTAAAGTACGGAGTGTGTAAATAGCCAAAATGGCTGACTTCCTGTTGGGTGTCGGGCATCACTCCAAGAGGCTTTTTTGTACGTCTGGACATGATACATGTGTCACAGAAATTTCATACATGTAGGTGAAAAGTGTCACGGGGGCTGCTCTGCAGGGGGGCACTAGCGAGCCATTTTGCCACACCCATGCAGGAAACCCATAAGAGTTTTCGAGTATGTTTAGGCCCCCAAAATTGAGGTTACTTTGCAGAAATAACAAAAATAATCCCTTCAATTTCAATAGGGACCTCGCACAGTTCGTGCTCGGGTCCTAAAGCTGCGTTCACACCGGAAGTGAATTTAATATTCGCCTCGCTTTACTCGCGCAAGTTTGACCGCTTCAGTGTTCTCACACACGCGTTTTAACACAGCCCGCGGATACTACAGCTATATGAACCCAAAGTAAACCTTTTGCTGTGATTTAATTGCAATAAACTGATCAAACTGCTGCCGAAATAACTACAATATGATGCCATTTTGTTAGACATATGAATTCATGCTTTGTCAGGTCTGTCAGCAAGTCAGCAGGACGACAACTTTTAAAATACGCGTTTTCTGATTGGACTTCGGATCGATCAGGGCTATGCTAACCTGTTCACAGTAAAGTACAACGACAGCTGGAATAAAGTTACAGACACACATTTTCTAAACTCACCAGGTAGTTCAACTTCCTCGCTTTCTTTTCTCCAAGTAACGTCCAGCTTTGTCCGGTTTTTATATAAAAATGAAGTAGTAGTCCAGCAGAACTCTGATGCCATCCGACGCTAAAGTCAACAGTGGAACCGGATGTGCACGGAAGCTAGCTGCCGAGAAGCACAAGTGAAGATAAATCAAGTTGTAATTCCAAAAACTAAAGTGAAAAGATAATTTAATAAAACCAGTTAACTCGGACCTCCTCCTGCTGGTAAACGGCATAGTTGTTAGAGCAGAATCCAGACCCACTACGGGTGTTTATTTGTCCGAAACCTGCAGCACTACTCCCCATCCACTTCCCCGTTCTTTAGCAGCTCCCTGTCGGACAGTGGCTTGTCATTACACCGCTCGCCTGGTCCTCTCCAAACAACGCTCCGAAGCCGCCAGTGACGTTTGGACAATCTCAACGCTGATAGGCCTTCGCAACATCACGTCAAGCGAATTTCTCGCCCAAGTTGAAAAATTTTAACTCGCACGAACTGCGCGACAAACGTCGTGAATTTGCGTCTTTGCATTGACTTTGGATGTAATCAAACCCCCCAAAACGCTGGATTTGCTTTCGGTGGGAACGCACCTTAATAATCCCTTCAGTTTCAATAGGGACCTCACACAGTTCGTGCTCAGGCCCTAATAATTTAGTTTCATCATAGTCAGTGGACCTACACGTGTTTTTTTTTTGTTTTTTTTAAATGCTTCATGAAAACTCATTTTTAAACCGTCTATCCCTTCCAACACCAATATACTGTAGGTATAAAGACCATCTGCAGGTAAAATAATAAAGCAAAAGCTTTTCCTGCAGCGCTGTAAAGCCCAGGCCCACAAAAGGTGAGAGGGTTGCAAAAGCAGGCATGATTGATTGCAGCGCATCCAGTTGTGGGCCGGGCTTCTGATGAAAAGCTTGAGTTCATGTAGGTTCACTGTCCAGTTTCACTTCCCACAAAATGAAACTGATGTGCACCAGTGTGAGAGGGAGGGTGAGCTGTGGATCACAAAAAGGGCAGAGCTGGCTTTGAAAGTCAGCCTCACCCATTGTTGGTGGTCAACTATCAGTCCAGCTATTAGGAAATAATCATAATATCTTTCCAAACGGTGAGGCATGGAGCCAGAGACCTACATGCATGACCTGTGTACTGGGACACACAGCTCTTGGAGGCAGTTACGGTACTTTAAAACCCTTAGGGTTTGATTGTCCCAGTTTTTGCATTAAAATTCCCCCATGTTTCATAACCAGTCAAATCCAAACACACAGACATGATACACACATTTTTAGATTGAGTGTGACTCACACTTTCTGAGGATATCATTATCTCTGTCCTCATGTTCGTCACATCAAGTTTTCTTAAGCATCAAAGTAATCCAGTGATAGACAGATATGGGCACTCTGCAAACAGGAAGTGCTAACAGCTAATTCAGCATACGCAGCTGTCCGGGAGTCCACAATGGGAGATTTTATAAAGCCCTGCTTTACATGACCATGTTTGGCTCTTCATACACTCCCTACCAAAAGAATAAGTCATGTTGAGTGACAACCAACAGATCATTCACATCAAACACACTGGAACTGTTGTGAAGAGTTTACAGCTTTAATCTAGGTTCTTCTAGGTCAGGGGTTCTTGACCTTTCTGGCAGTCCGACCCCTTTTTGAAGTTGAAAATATTTAGCTGCTTGAATTGTCCGGAGACTGCAACAAACTGTCCCTGACTCATCCTAAAATAAGACTTAAACCGATCATCATTAAGACGAAGCTCCTGGACCAGCGGTGTCTCCCCTTTCTTAGAGTCTCATGTGCCCACACAGATCTCAGTTTCCCTGTCTTCTGCGTGTTTGTAGGCTACACCTCACACACTCAAAACAGTGCCAGAGCAGGCGCTCTGCGTTTGGCAGATGTTTTTAGCAACAAAAGACACAGACCTGTGAGTTGTGATCAGGTTTCTGCTAATATGAAAGTTATTAATTAGCAGCAAACCAAAGATTAGCCTACAGATCGCTGGCGCTATAGCCTAATCTTTGATTAGACTGACAGGACAGCTGTTTCAGTGGTTGCCTAGCAACATTTAAAAAAACGCAGCGCTGTGCTCTTTTCTAAATTCAACCAAAAGCCATTGCTGTGCGCCACGTGTTTTTCGAACCTACAAAGCGCTTTCTGTCTGATCGGGGCCTGAGTCTTCTTTGTCGTTTTATAGCGGTTGGCATCACCGCCACCTACTGGATTCAGCAGCTCATTTCGGGTTAATGAAGCAAAATACAGATCACAGACTGGTTAAGTTATGAATTGAAAATGTAGCGAAATTAAGAGTAGATTACTAGCCCAAAGAAAATATTGGATTAAAGAGTAAAAATATAAATAATAAAGGAACGTGAAAAGGCAATGACTTATTTTTATTTATTTATTTTGCAAATTTGCGTTACTTGTAACAAGTTACAACCCACCCTGCTGCAGGCGCCCTCACTGCTGTATTCAGGTAGGTTGTAATAACAGCAGCACAGAAGAAAAGCCTGCCTCCAGCAAACTCGTATTTTTTCTCCCGTAACATTTCAGCATCTCCTTTGCGTTGTGTCGGATGTTTTCTATAGGCCTAATTTACATGTTTTTGTCCGCGTTTTAACCGTTTAATTATGTCTGATGTGGAGTGATTGATTGACTAGCCACTCATAGTAAACGTTCTCACGATGGAGAAAAGCGGGGGGGAGGGACAAAACATAGATTTTGCGTATATACGTTATAACGTTACAATTTCATCTGCCCGTTATACTTTACCGTTCGTTACGGGCACCGTTAAAGTACGTCTCTGTTGCAGTTAACGGTTTTACCACTCAATGTCACTGTGAGACTAGCTGTAGATTAAGGTTTCATAGTTATCACCTAATCATAATTATTTGTCCTTGTATACGTACATTTTTGTTGGTGTTTTGTTGCTATTTTTAGCCGTTAGCCTCTTCAGTATTGCAAAATGTTGAAAGAGAGAGAGACAAACAGATGACAAAACCGTAATAAACTCTGTTAAGAACAGTGCTGTTCACTGATTGGCCATGGGACGTGTAAATGTCATTTTCTGCGACACTGTTTTGATGAGTATGGACTTTATGCCAGAGTAGCTAAGATGCACCTTACGTCTCGGTGGTGCAACCAAACATCAACACAGTTTAAGTCTCAAACTAACTAGTTTCAACGTATTGTTTAGTGTGGACTTTGCACCCTAACTTAAGGTAGAACTTGCGTATCGCTGGTGCAACAGGCTGCTGGACTCTAAAAGTCATCTCAAGACTTTTGTGGCCTATTACTTTTCCTGCTGTTTTGACTATCCTGGCCAGCTTGTTTTTGATAGTGTGTTAGAGCCAGTGTTAGAAGTCCGAACTAGACAGAGATATTAAACACCAGAGTACTCTCTATCAGGAATACACATTCTCAAGGATGTTTTGACTGACCACAAACTCCTTCAGTTTCTTAATTAAAAACAGTCTCTGCCAGGATTTATTACATTTGGAATCAGTATTTTCAGTGAAACTCAATGTGTCATCCATAAGTGTACCTAAATACTGAAAACAGTTTCCACTGATTGACCACAGTGTGTAAGCGACAGGGGTGGCTCTGCATGATGTGAAACAAGGTCCTTATAGGCACGTCGTACCACTCGGCAGCCATCTTGGCAACGCCTCCGAGCAGCCATTTCATAAAAACTACATGACTGGAATCAGCAATAAAAGCTGATTAAAAAAAACGACTTTGCCTCAAAATAAGGTTTAAAAACCATTTTTCCCGACCGGTGACTCCGGTTATACTTCTACTGCACATGCGCAGTAGGCCCCTTATGTGGAAGCACGCAATTGGCTGAAATATGTTTCCCGCCTCGGACGATTGACTTTCTAGCAGGAGGGGTTGGACAACTGCCATCTTTGGCGTTATGGGTTTTCCCTATAAAGTTGTACTGAGGATTCTTAAAGTGGCATGTCTCCTCTGTAGCATATCTAAACTAGCTATTAATTTTAATAAATTTCTTGATTATAGTGAATTTATTAACTAACTAAAGCGATATAAAAGGGTGGTTAAATACATCAGGGAAAATAAGCAATGGCTAAACAATGAGAATGGAGGTTCGATAGTGGGAAGCATTTGACTCATACGGCAGAGGAGAACTAATGAAAGTAAGCTATGAGTTTAGGAGTTAAAAAGATAATATTAACATTATGGGACATCCCTGACCACAGAATGTTTTGTTGGGTCTTACTGCTTGTTGACGGCCTGCTTTGGCCTGTTGCACGGGTCCCACGCTAGCTGCCTGATCCTGGCTTTTTGCTAGGGATTCTCCAGGGTTCTCCGTGTCTGATTGAAGAAAAACCTCAAGGGTTGGCCGTCCTCCGTCTGGCAATTCGGCTGTTTTCAGGTTTCCTTCTTTGCCGGTGGTGAGACCACGTGGCTTGGTCTGACCTTGGTGAAGTTGGCTCGACGAAAAAGCTTAAAAAGGGAACTTGGTCCAGTGTAACTTAACGGACTGATAACTTTAACAAAACAAAAGAAAGAAAGAAAATAAAACAAGTAAAGTTGCTGGAACTGAGGTATGAATCGATGTCGCGGCACTTCGCGTAGCTTTCAAACAAAGACTTCGTTGCACCGGTCGGAATTCTTAGGGCGTTACCGGGAGAGGCACGCCGGACGCGTACCGAAGCATCCAGAGAGCAGAGCGGAAGACAAGAGAACGAGGAGAAAAAAAGAGAGGATGACATCGTGTGTTGCTCTTTTGTGGTCTGGTGCGTGGTTCCCCAGAGGGCAGCCCTTTGTTCCCGACAGGCAGCGTTTCCGGTTTCCCGAGGGACTGTCTTTCTAAACTTTTAATGTCTATAAAAGAAAAGAATCTATAGAATCTATTTGCGCGTATTCTAATCAAATATTTTAGGATTTCCTGCCCCCCTCTAAAGGGGAGTTCCGATAGGCTGTTCAGGGAAATGCTAATCGCTGGTTAATGTCCCTTTTGTCAGTTTAACAGTCAGGCACCGCATTATCAGGCTGTAGAATCAAAGGTGCCAGTTTTACGATCAGGCTGCTCATGAATAGCACTTAGAGAAAGCAACCTTTCCACCACCTTTCTGTTGGGGTCTCTTCAGCCGTCTGCTGAAAGTTGATCTCAACCCCTCCTCCTGCTCTCAGGGAGAGGGGAATAATTTTGAGTAGTTCAAATTTATTTAATATAAAATGCACAATCCACACTGTTGGTCCCACTACACCTCTATATAACATCTCTGTAAAATCCGCTCCGCTGGACCTACACCACTGCTCCAGCCTGGAAACTTGAGCAAAGTAATCAGAGACAGCGAAAAATTCTACTGACTGCTTCACAATCAGGTCAAGAGGGGTCTTGGTTGGCAGCAGTTTGCGGTGTATTCATGTAATCGTATCTATGAACACAAAGAACACCAAACAGCAGCACAGAATCCACACAGGTCCATTGTTTTTTGCTGAAGGACCCAACACTGAATTTATTTTACTTTCACTGAAGGAGACCAATGCAGGAAAGAATACAGAAAGAAATGAGTACTAAAGAATTGTTTTCCAAACTGCACTTCCCCGTCTTAGTCAGCCAGTTCAAGAAGCACGTTTGCACTGTTCCACTTTGTTCATTAAATTTAATTATTATACATTATAAATAACACTCGACTGCCTTCAGGTTTGTATTAGAGCCACACTCAAAAGAATGATGCTAAATATAAATTATATTATATATCCCAATTATTTGACACTAAAGGTTAAATATCAAGTACCTGAGGCTCCTTTCCACCTCCCGGGTCTCCTTCTGGTCCCCCGGGTTCAGAAGCCTCAGGATGTTCTTCTCAAAAGACTCAGTACACTGATCCTTAGGAAGCTGCAGAGACACAGGGCGGAGGAGAACAAATCAGGTGTGTGTGTGTGTGTGTGTGTGTGTGTGTGTGTGTGTGTGTGTGTGTGTGTGTGTGTGTGTGTGTGTGTGTAAACTTGTCAAATCTGGTATCAAGTGCAATTCAGCGTCAGCGGTCTTTACTGACTAGCCTTACCCTGAGACCTAGACTTGAGCTAATCCTTTCACAAACTAATAAAAATAAATTTTATTTGTAATGCACCTCCTATTTAAACAAATCCTAAAGTGTTACAGGATAAAAACGGGTAAGTGCTAAAAATAAAAACAATACGGCAAAGAAAAGGGCAAGAGTTCAACCAAAAGCTCTCCTTATAAAGGTGGGTGTTGAGGCTGCGTTTAAAAACATCCACAGTCTGTAGTTTCCTCAGGTGGTCACGGAGAACATTCCAAAGACTGGGAGCGGCTGAGCAGAAAACCCAATCTCCCACTGTATGGAGCTTGGTCCTGGGAGGTTTCAGGAGATATGAGTCAGAGTGAATGATGGCAGGGCAGCAGAGGGGGTTGTGTTTGCCCCGAGGTACAGTTTAGTGTCATCAGCATAGCAGTTCAATGAAATTCCATGCTGGCTGATGACACAGCCAAGGAGGAGCATGTAGAGAATAAACAGGGTGGGGCCGAGCACTGAGCCTTGAGGGATTTAACCTCACCCAAGGCGTCTTGCTCAGTTCTCCCAGTGAGGGTGAGGACCAGTTATGGACAGAGTCAGAGAGACCCATGGTGGAATGTAGACGGTGAAGGAGGATGTTGTGGTCCACAGTATCGAACACTGCAGTCTAGGAGCATGAGAAGAGAAGGGGAGTCAGTGTCTGCCGTCATCAGCAGGTCATTTGTGACTCTGACGAGAGCTGTTTCTGTGCTGTGGCCAGTGGGGAAACCAGACTGGAATTTCTCAAACAGGTTGTTTTGTTTTAGATGGTCCTGAAGCTGTGAGGCAACTACTTTTTGCAGTACCTTAGAAAGGAATGGAAGGTTGGAGATAAGCCTGTCGTTGCACCTCTCCTCTGAGGCTTCTGAATGAGAGTGAGTTTGCAGTTTGAGTTTGTAATTTATAGTGGACAAAAGTTGCTTGGAGTTGCCAGGGCTATTGTTGATGATGTTGGAGTAGAACTGTGACCGTGCATCTCTCAAGGACCTTGTGTAGGACTTCTGATGCTCTCTGTAGGCTTCAACAGTGAGTTCTGAGGCCTTGAGATGCCGCTCAAGGACATGCCCAGCTGTCATCATCTTCCACAGTTCGCAGGTGTACCAGGGGGCTGAGCGTAAGAAGATGACCGTTCTGGTTTTGACAAGGTGTGGAGATCTAGGGGACTGCTCAGAGATTGGTTGTAGAAGTCAACCAACTCAGTGACAGAGAAATCAGCAGAGGAGAGATCCTGAAGGTCTACAGTCAAGGTGTCTGGGTTGATCTTTTTCAGGTCCCTAAAGCAGATTTGACGCTCATCTTTGGTGTGTGGAAGGGAGTGGCAGCTTCATGGAGATCCATGAAGGACACATCCAGATCATAAGGTTGCTAATGGAGGCGGAGTTAGAGATGACAGTGTCTTTAAATGGTGCTGATCCACTTCACATTACACAGACCTGAAACTGAACTGGGATTTAGCCAAGCTTCATTATTGGTGCCTGTATGAACACATCCCGTGTGTTACTTTTTTTTCATAGGAGCTACAGGAGATGACTTATGAACACGACCACGGCTGCATGCCAACAAGTCTGGAAATTCAACAACACAGATGAGGACTGAAGCTGCTACCGCTCCTCCGTGTAGACACAGTGATGCTTTGACACTGTCGCTGCTCTAACGACTGGCTAAATGTGGTAGCAGTTGTTGCATATGCGTGGAAAGTCAATAACATCAGCAAAAGTGGTACCTTAAGAAGGAAGTTCTCCAGTTCCAGGTGGGTTTTGGTCACAGTGCTAGAAGAAGAGTCTGACCACTTCACCTGAAACACAGAACAGAACATTCTTCATCAAGACATAGGCTACCATGAGAAATCTGCAACATGAAAAAGGAAATGGGGCTACGCAGTGACAGTAAAAAGAACAAGATTAAACTGTACTGACTGAAGGGACCTGTTTTTAGTGACTCAGTGTTACATACAACTCATACAACACCAAAATGGTAATAAAAAGAACATTTTAAACAAAAGAAAAAGAACAATAAGATGTGTTAGAGCACCGGCTGAGACACAGAGAGAGGTCCCATCTTTTCTGAGTAACTGCATGAGTCTGAGGAATACATTCATAAATGGCAGGAGCACCACCATCCGGTCAGTTGCGAATGGTGAGGTGACTTTCAGTGGACACAGAGTGGCACAAATTCAATACAAATTACGTGATCAATGTTCATGAAGCTAAGAGCTAATGAGTCTAATCAGCTGTGGGAACACATCATAGTGTACTGTGACTCAACATGCAACACCAGTGGGGATGAACGTTTGAAGACCCCCGAAGACTATAAATTATATCATAAGGACAGATTTGGCAGACCTGGTGGTGGGGTATGCCTCTATGTACGTTCAAACATGCAAGCCGATGTTTGCGATCTTGCCGTAAATGATAATCATACAGACTCTCTCTTTATTGAGATAAAAAATGACAAAGGTAAAAACATTATTGTGGGCGTAATTTACCGCCCCCCAGATTCTGATTTAAACATTTTTAATAATAAACTAGAAGAAATTCTATTACACATAAATAAATTAAATAAAGACTGCGTCCTCCTTGGAGACTTCAATATTGCAACAATATGTAACTATTCACGAACAGAGATCAGAAAACAAACACATTCAATGTGGTGTTCCACAAGGATCCATATTAGGTCCTCTCCTCTTTATTATTTACATTAATGATCTGGAAAATTCTTCAAAGACCCTTCATAAAGTAATCTTTGCAGATGACACTAACCTGTTTCTATCACACAAAAATGAATTTGAACTTCAGAAACTACTTAACAAAGAACTTCAGAATGTGGATAACTGGTTCAAAGTAAATAAACTATCTATAAATACCAGCAAAACAAACTATATAATATTCTGTCCAACAAAAAACAACTTGATTTCGATGATCTAAATTTTCAAATTAAAATAAAGGGAGAGGAAATAAAGAGAGTGAAGACAACTAAATTTTTGGGTGTCTTTATAGATGATCACCTAAATTTTAAACACCATATTGAATATCTTGTCAAAAAGCTATCAAAATATGTTGGTCTGTTCACCAAAATGGTAATAAAAAGAACATTTTAAACAAAAGAAAAAGAACAATAAGATGTGTTAGAGCACCGGCTGAGACACAGAGAGAGGTCCCATCTTTTCTGAGTAACTGCATGAGTCTGAGGAATACATTCATAAATGGCAGGAGCACCACCATCCGGTCAGTTGCGAATGGTGAGGTGACTTTCAGTGGACACAGAGTGGCACAAATTCAATACAAATTACGTGATCAATGTTCATGAAGCTAAGAGCTAATGAGTCTAATCAGCTGTGGGAACACATCATAGTGTACTGTGACTCAACATGCAACACCAGTGGGGATGAACGTTTGAAGACCCCCGAAGACTATAAATTATATCATAAGGACAGATTTGGCAGACCTGGTGGTGGGGTATGCCTCTATGTACGTTCAAACATGCAAGCCGATGTTTGCGATCTTGCCGTAAATGATAATCATACAGACTCTCTCTTTATTGAGATAAAAAATGACAAAGGTAAAAACATTATTGTGGGCGTAATTTACCGCCCCCCAGATTCTGATTTAAACATTTTTAATAATAAACTAGAAGAAATTCTATTACACATAAATAAATTAAATAAAGACTGCGTCCTCCTTGGAGACTTCAATATTGATGTCTCCAAGGACGATGCAGTCAAAAAGGACTTCATTAATACACCACATTCATCCTCTTTCTTTCCAACAATAAATATATTTACCAGAGTCACAAATACTTCTACAACTGTTATTGACAATATTGTCACAAATATACGAAATGTTAAGCTTGAATCAGGAGTTTTACTTTCTGATATATCTGATCATTACCCAATAATGCTGTTCTTTAATTTTGATTATAAATGTTTACCCTTATGTCACCCGATAAAAATTAAAGTAGTAAACGATCGAACAATGTATCAACTTAAGGCAAGTCTGCAAGCTAAAGCATGGGACATTGTTTATTGTTGCTGCGATCCTGATACTGCATATGATTTCTTGGTAAATGAAATAACAGACTCCATTCGCTGCTCCATTCCTATAAAAACTGTTACAAGCAGAAGGGCAGAACACAAACCCTGGCTAACAAGGGCAATCTCTAACTCCCTTAAACAAAAGAATAAACTTTACCAAAGATATGTTAATAAACCAAATATAGAGAACAAAACTAAATACAATGTTTACAAGAATAAATTGGTATATAATCAGGAAAAGCAAATATAATCACTACTCTGAATTGATAAAAACCTCGCAGGGAGACTCTAAGAAATCATGGGAAGTGTTGAATAATGTTTTGAATAGGGACCATAAAGATACCATGCTCCCTGATACAACAAATAATACTGATCTTGCAAATGAATTTAATAATTACTTTGTATCAACAGGGGCAAATCTCTCAAAAAACATTACTCAACCACACAGTGTCTCTTACCAACAATATATGTCAGGCAATTATCCAAACTTCTTCCTAAAGCCTACTGATGCCATTGAATTGTATAATATCATAATGGCTCTGAAGAGCTCAAATTCTGCAGGAGAAGATGAAATTAGCAGTAAAATATTGAAAAGTATTGCCAAAGAAATAACTGAACCACTTACACATTGTATTAATCTCTCACTGCTTACAGGAACTGTTCCCAAAATGACAAAAATTGCAAAAATAATTCCGATTTTCAAAGCTGGTGATAAAAATGACATCATAAATTATCGTCCCATATCAATTTTACCAACTCTTTTCAAAATATTGGAAAGAGTGGTTTATAATAGACTTATTAATTATCTTAATACACTGAACATACTTAACCCATCCCAGTATGGCTTTAGGAAAAAACACACCACCTGTATGGCGATCCTTGACCTTACTGAAAAGATCAATGATGCCATTGAAAAGGGGGAATATGGTATCGGTATATTCCTAGACCTTTCAAAGGCCTTTGATACCATCGACTTTACCATATTACTGTATAAATTGCACCATTATGGAATCAGAGGTCAACCACTGAATTGGTTCAAGAGTTATTTACACCAGAGGCAACAATATGTAACTATTCACGAACAGAGATCAGAAAACAAACACATTCAATGTGGTGTTCCACAAGGATCCATATTAGGTCCTCTCCTCTTTATTATTTACATTAATGATCTGGAAAATTCTTCAAAGACCCTTCATAAAGTAATCTTTGCAGATGACACTAACCTGTTTCTATCACACAAAAATGAATTTGAACTTCAGAAACTACTTAACAAAGAACTTCAGAATGTGGATAACTGGTTCAAAGTAAATAAACTATCTATAAATACCAGCAAAACAAACTATATAATATTCTGTCCAACAAAAAACAACTTGATTTCGATGATCTAAATTTTCAAATTAAAATAAAGGGAGAGGAAATAAAGAGAGTGAAGACAACTAAATTTTTGGGTGTCTTTATAGATGATCACCTAAATTTTAAACACCATATTGAATATCTTGTCAAAAAGCTATCAAAATATGTTGGTCTGTTCTTTAAGCTTAGACATCTGCTTCCTCAAGCAATACTACTTACTCTTTATAAAACACTCTTTGAACCCCATTTAAACTATTGCAATATTATTTGGTGCAATACTTATCATACTTACTTAAAAAAATTAGAAATTCCACAAAAAAAAGTCATTTGTGCCATATCATGGTCAGATTTCAATGCTCCAACTCGTTCTATTTTTCTTGGGTACGGTATTTTAAGACTAAATGAATATAATATATTTCACAATGCATGTACTATGTATCAGGTGGTCTTTGGTCTGAATAGCAGTTTGTGTGAGCTTTTTCCCCATCCGCTGTCCCCAGCACACTCACCTCACTAGAAAAAAGCACATTATTATTGGGAAAAACACGGAGATTAAAAAGCACTGGTGTGAGTGTAGTGTGCCGGGGACCGCGGATTTGGAATGAGCTGGATGACAATCTGAAAAACTCAAGCTCTTTTGTTTCCTTTAAACAAAATCTGAAGAAACAACTATTAAGCTTGTATTCATCTTCTTGATGTATGTACTACCTCATATTCTGAATGTATGTCAGTGTTACTCCTACAATCTCAAGGTAAACTGTAAAACAAAATTGTACTTGTTAAATGGGATCCCTTAATGTGTTGTGTGAAAGTTATGTATGAAATGTCTTATATGTAGGCCACACATTTTCTTGTTTTTGTTTTGTCTTTCTTTTTTTTGATTGTAATGGCGCCCGAGCATAAGCTTTAGATAGCTTCTTTGGGGACCAGTTCACATATATGATCACTTCTTTGTTCTTTGTTATATTGCAAGTGCATATGAATATATGTATGTATATGTGAATAAATAAAACCCTTCTACTTCTAAGACAGTCAGTTCATGACACGCTGCACGCTTTTCTTATTGCTTAGTTAGGCTGCAGTAAGCATGCTGTAGGGCTGATAAATTAGAAAAATATCTAATTGTGATTATTTTGACTGATACTGCATTTGCAATATGATTTGTAATACTAACAATTTTTAAGAATTGTTCTCATTCCATCACATATTAAAATGATTATGGTGTTTTTAAGGGTCTCTTTTCCAAAGATGTTTTCTGAATTCTGCAGAACATGATGTGTCGGCCAGGACATCTCTGCAGCGCCACAATATTTCATTTTAAATGCTATTTTTACAAACATCACCTTAAAAAACTGCCTTTTGAAAATTGGTAGTTCATTGGTAGTTTATTTCAATTCACTTTTATGAACAGACCACAGTACTGCATAATCTAGTTACACAGGAGAACATAACCATGTGTTGGCAGTAGTGAATCAGTGTTCCCACTAAAACAGTTTTAAAGTAGCAGTAAAGTAACTACAGTAGCTGTATACTTCAGGAGCATATCAATCCTTTTGTTGTGGAAAATATGGGTATCACATAAACATGAGGCCAACGTGGTAGTTTTTTTGCCCATCACAACTAACACTCAGGCTTAGACAGCCGGTCACATTTACACTCAGCTCTATGCTAACCTTTTTCACAACGAGTACATGTGCTGCTAAAGAAAAACATTTAGCAGCACACAAACACATTTAGGAGCACTGTGAAAAAAGTAACACAAAGTTAATTAACAATTTATTACATACATATTTACACTGTGTGTGTGTGGTGACCTACCTCAAAGTTGTATTCCTTGTCTATTCTGGTCTGAGAGATGCCCCTGAGCACAATTCCCTCTATATGCACCGCTGCAACAACACAGAGCAGTGATAAACTCTTAAACCAAATATCCACTTGACAGTACATGTCTAATGAAAGCCTTTACAATTATCAGGGTTATTACAGCACTTACTATTATCAATCAGTATGTTCTGTGTGCTGAGACATTTATTGTTTAAAAGGTTACTGAAAGAAAGAAATGTGTGTGGGGGGAGCTGTACAGTGTAGTGGGTAGGTGTTTGATCCCTGCAGTGTTTATTTTAGGACCATTACTAAATCAAGCTTATAAAATCCACAAATCCAAATGCTGCACCTCCAGTAAATGATAGCAATTATTAAGTACAGTAACTGTTTCCATTCACCTTCTCTTGTGTCGCCCAGCTGCTGGATCGTGGGCTCTGGCAGGGAGAGTGGGAGGCACTATATTCCCCCAAACCCAGCGCTGGGGAAGGCAGGTAATCCGTCTTGTGACACATCAGCTCCTGGAGAAAAAAAACACAAAGAGTTAGTTATTGGCTCACACGGGTTCTTCATTCGCCTGAACCTGATCAACATACCGGGCCCAATCAGATCTAAGGTACAGTATGTAAATTTTATGTTTCAACTGAAATATCTGACGTTTCAATAACAAAGCCCCTGATATATGAGTCACATTCATAATGTTTGAGCACAGTGTAAGTTGGATCATCCACATCAGGAGGGCTTTGCTTTGTTTCCTTATGATCAGGCTGCTCTCCCAGAACTCAGGGTTCCACATTTAAGAGTGGGCTTAAGACTCTTTGATAAAGCTTATAGTTAGGGCCATGCGCTAGAGGATAATTAGGCCGATTCACCCCTCCTGACAATCGCAGGGGGGACGCCTTCATGTCTGTTTATTTCTGAAGTCACTGAGAAACCGCCACTCTGAAATCATTCATCTAAAGGCCGAATGTGTGGTCCTGCTGACGCATGTGTCAGCATACTTTTTTTTTTTTTTTTTATTGATGTCTTTATTGCATTTTTCGAAACTGGCAAAGCATTATAGGACATACATATACAGGAGTGCAATATGTAAACAGGAGAATAGAAAAAAAAGCAACAACAAAAACGAGAAAAAAATTGGAAAATAGGCTAATCAAAAGTGTATTTGTGGAGAAGTAAAATAAAAAGCAGGGCAGATATAATAATGAGCTAAGTGAGCATGGCTGAAATTTATTTTCTTTCCTCTTATTATATTTATATTAATATCGGATCAATTACAAATTATAGCATTACATCTACACAAACCCACTAAATGTTAAACAGGCTGAAAACAGTTAAGAGCAAACATAAATGTAATACATGAAGCTGACACCAGCTGAGCTGTAGCATGCAGCCTGTGGGGTTTCA